AACATCAACACTTACAGATGGATACTGATGGATATGGAAGAATTACAAACTTTAGAGAGTAAATACCTAACATCAACACTTACAGATGGATATGGAAGAATTACAAACTTTAGAGAGTAAATACCTAACATCAACACTTACAGATGGATATGGAAGAATTACAAACTTTAGAGAGTAAATACCTAGCATCAACACTTACAGCTGGATACTGATGGATATGGAAGAATTACAAACTTTAGAGAGTAAATACCTAACATCAACACTTACAGCTGGATATGGAAGAATTACAAACTTTAGAGAATAAATACCCAGCATCAACACTTACAGCTGGATACTGATGGATATGGAAGAATTACAAACTTTAGAGAGTAAATACCTAACATCAACACTTACAGCTGGCTATGGAAGAATTACAAACTTTAGAGAGTAAATACCTAATAATAATACTTAATACCAACGCTTACAGCTAGATACTGAGAGCTACAGTGTTTAGAAAATGAATTGTTAGTGCTCACAGGTACAGAGGGAAGAATATGAACTACAAACTTTAGCTTAGCAAATGTCAATTTTTTACAATTCCACTTGGATATGGAGAAGGTACAATGTTCACAAGTAAAGTTAGGTGTGGATAGGCTATAAATCTTTATAGGAATCATTTCTAATTTTCATAAGTCAGCTAAAAGTGGAGAATTTTGAGTAAACAAATTCTTTATATTCATATTTATATATATATTTTTGGTTATATTGTTATGAAAAAATCCAAACTTTTGATGATTAATCACTATTATTCGTAAATGCAACCGAATATGGAGGAATTAAGGTATTTAGATATTAAATTCATAATTTTAACGAGACGCCATATAAAAGGGACTTAGAATTTTTGATTAATGATTATTTATTGTTCTCAAGTGTGGTAGTACATGGAAAATTACAGACGTTTGATAATGAATCATAAGGACTCATAAGTACAAGTAGACTTGGAAGAGTTACAGTTTTTAAAAGATGGCCTGATATTTGTAGGTACAGCCGGATATGGAAGAATTACAAGATAATATGGAGGATAATGAAGGAGAAGAAGAAAGCGCCAAGTCTGAAGTGAAATTAGGTCGCCTCCAGTACAAGTTAGATTACGACTTTAATACCAGTAACGTAAGTGCTGTTTGTAATTTCACCGATGCTTACAACTACCAACAAATTGTTTTTATAATTCTGAATAATATACTGAATAACGTTTAATTATGCTTCAAACTGAAGAAAACTTCCATGCATATACTTTGTTTTTGCAGTATAGCTGCTTTTGTAATTAATTACTTATTTCCAATTATAAAGGAGCACTGGGTAAAAACTTTACAGATCTACAGTATTCTCTAATCGATGGTTGTTTATTTCCTTGTTCACTTAGCCATCGAGTAATTTTAAAGGAATTCTATTGTAAATGAGTGTTGTTTGAAGTAGGTCATGAAACAATAACCATGTTTTGTTTGATGAGACATTTTTTTGAGTGCACAAGATCATTGTTGAATAACAAATGAGATCATTTTAAGTAATTGATCGTTAATAAGTGAATTGTTCAGAATATAGTTTTACTTTTTCTTTTCTAGAAGTTCTTCTCTTCGCTTATAAGATATTGAATAGTTTAGAGTATCTATATATTTTATTAGCCATGTATAGACATTAGGAATCGATTGAACATGCCTTAAAATAATATTATTTACGTATTTTTACCTTAAAAATGACATTGGATTTCAGTCATGTAAACCAGTGTTTCTCAACCAACGGTCCGTCACAACCACCTTGCTTGTCAGAGGGATTTCATGAAAACAAACAAACAAAAACTGTCAGATTATTCTGTTGTTTTTCAGAATTAGTAGTGAATACTAGAGGATTTAGACATTTTGACTATAAAGTTAGAAAAAACTACCTTTCCTAGCCCTGCATTAGCTGAAATAGTTTCTTTTTATTATAATCTGGAGAATAAAGGTCGGTTTTTTCTTACATTTTTGTCAGAATGATAGAATATTTATATGTAAATCGTAATGATTTGTCGTTGTACTTGTATTTTAGTGGTCCGCAAGAGATTAGGGAGGTAGCAAGCCGGCCCCTGGTTTTGTTTGTTTCTTTGTAATTAAGCACAAAGCTACACAATGGGCAATCTGTGCTTTGCCCACCACGGGTATCAAAACCAGGTTTCCAGCGTTGTACGTCCGCAGACATACCGCTGTGCCACTGGGGGGCCTGGCCCCTGGTATCGAAAAGCTTAAGATGCACTATTGTAGACGACACAAACGTTTGTTGTTAGCGAGGTAGCAGCCACTGCAACAAGTGCAATAAATATTCGTTTCAATGTACGATCAAAACTAAAAACAATTAGACTTTGGCGCATGAACTTATCACTCTCAGAAATGTTTTGACAAAGTTCCAATGATCGATTTTACTTGTGAATAAGCCCAACTGTACAGGTTACATGAAAATATATTGCGTTTTGCGAAACAACACTACCTCGAGTCAAATTATGAATTCGAATTTATCATATGTTCTAAGCGTGAGGGCGCTTAACTCGCAATCTGAGGGTCGCGGGTTCGAATCCCCGTCCCACCAAACATACTCACCCTTTCAGCCGTGGGGGCGATATAACGTGACGGTCCATCGCACTATTCGTTGGTAAAAGAGTAGCCGAAGAGTTGGCAGTGGGTGGTGATGACTATTTGCCTTCTCTCTAGTCTGTACTGCTAAATTAGGGACGACTAATGCAGATAGCCCTCGTGTAGCTTTGCGCGAAATTCAAAACAAACAAATCAAAGTACGAATATGATAAACTTTTGTTTTATGTATTATTTCATGGATTTCAACGTCGCCACTTGTGTCTCTCCAACTGACAACAGTAAGAACCAGTCTTCAAAGAAAGCCTGCGCGGATAAAGTGCGTAGTTGTGGAATTAAAAGGATTAGAAAATAAATACACAAAACAGGATATAATATTATGCAAAAACTAAATTCAAGCAAAACTATATTTTTAAAATCTAACAGCGATTGAGGTTTTATAATAATGACACATATTAATGTAAAATAAAGTTGCATCTTTCAAGTTACTTTAAACGTAAGCCCATTTTGACATAAAGTTAATTTTACTGTATGTTATAAGTGATATCAATAGTAGACAAGGACATTATTTTGTACTTCTAGCCCAAAGTGAGTTTCATAATAAGTTATAAAATGATATCAACAGACAAGGACATTATTTTATGCTTCTAACACAAAGTGAGTTTCAGACTAAATTGTAAAGTGATGTCAACAGACAAGGACATTATTTTGTACTTCTAGCCCAAAGTTATAAAGTGGTATCAACAGACAAGGACATTATTTTATGCTTCTAGCTCAAAGTTAGTTTCAGACTAAATTATAAAGTGATGTCAACAGACAAGGACATTATTTTGTGCTTCTAGCTCAAAGTTAGTTTCAGACTAAATTATAAAGTGATGTCAACAGACAAGGACATTATTTGGTGCTTCTAATCCTTATATAGCAATAAAATGGTTCTTCACGAACTATTGTTTGACTTGTACTTAGCCGATCTTATTTTTACGTGTAGTTAGCAGTGACAGTAATTCAAGCAGAGGATCTTCCAGGAATGGATATGTCTGGTACATCGGATCCTTATGTCAAGGTGTATATGTTGCCCGACAAGAAGAAGAAATACGAAACTAAAGTTCACCGAAAGACACTAAACCCTGTGTTTAACGAGACCTTCAATTTCAAGGTAAATATAATTCAGATATATTGTAGATAAATATATATATTTATTAGATTATTTAGCTTTAAAGAATAATGTACAATTCTACCTATTAATATCACTTTAATTATAGCTTTTATTTCCCTCTGAAATTTGTTTATTATGTGTATTGAGCAGTAGTTTATTTTTCTACAACTTATATATTGCTTAAGTAAATTTATGTAAATGTTTCTTACGGTCTTGACAGTATCCATTGCAATTATACGTTGTTGTTTTTTATCATAGATCATCTGAAATGAGAAACTTGAATATTGTTTAATGAGCGTGAAAGCGTGTAACAGTTAGCACTTAGGAACGAGTAGCGTTTATTGTGTGGATGAAAATGTTTTTTTTTTAAAGTGAAGTAACAAACATTTTATGCATATTTCTCTAAGTATATTTCAAGGCATATACATAAAGAAATATACTCCAAGAGTTAAATAGGCATGACCTAGTAATAAGCTTACCGGGCTGCGGATGTAAGGGTCAATGTTCGTGCGACAATGCCCCTTGAACAGGATCCGCACTTGTAGCTATAGACATTTTATTCAGTTTAAAGCCGAAAGACACAGCCATTGAGGCGACATATATTGCTTACTGGTTGTCTTCCCTCTGGTCAGTAGTTCAAAATTAGTAACGGCTATTCCTGAACTTTAGGGGCCCATGACGCGGCCGTTTATTGTGTGTGTGTGTGTGTTGCATAAGGTGCTATTTAAGCTTACAATATCAAATATTGTAATATATGTCAAAACGAAACAATGTTTTTTTTTCTCTCACCAGATACCTTACTCTGAAATTACTTCTAAAACTCTGGTATTCGCCATCTTTGACTTTGACCGTTTCTCGAAGCACGATCAAATAGGAGAAGTCAAGCTACCTCTAAACACACTAGACTTAGCCCAGACTATCGAAGAATGGCGAGATCTTACTAGCGTAGAGGGAGAGCAAGGACAGGCAAGTTGTTTTGGGTTATACTATATAGAAAGTCTATATAGGGTTGAGTTCCTTGGTGAAATACAAATTTAGATGTCGAAAAGAATCTCAAAATTCACTTTTCATATATATATTATATGTATATATATATATATTATTGCAGACATTTTTTCATAGTATCTAAAAGGAATTTAATAGCTGTTTATAAGTATCCTCGTCTGAAATACAGCTCTAAGCAATTAAACAAGAAATACCAGACATAAGGTTTTATAAAATATAGAAAATACGTGCATAGAAGGAGAATAACATGGGAATGAGAGCACCCAACAACACCCCCCCCCCCAGTGGCACAGCGGTATGTCTGCGGACTTACAACGCTGAAAACCGGGTTTAGATACCCATGGTGGGCAGAGCACAGATAGCCCATTGTGTAGCTTTGTGCATAACTTCAAACAAACAAACAAAAAGCACCCAACAACAACACAAAATTACACCATCCTGACATTATCTACAATTTAAGCTACAGATAGAAACAAGAGTTAAAACAGATAACATTTCTGAGTTAACTGTTTCAGTTTCTACGTTAATAAATAATTACGAATGATTCATAACACATTAAATCAAGCGTGATCTTAAATTCAGTTTTATGGATGGTGTTTACTGTTTATAATTGTCTTAGAGCTGTATTGCATCATTCATTTTCTGTCATTCTGAACGGTTTTAGATAACGTAAAAAAAGATTCAATATTTTGGTATGAATATTTAATGGTTTATTAATTATGTTAAAAAGATTTTGTAACAACGAAAAGTATCCAAATTGTTTTAAAAATATAATTTCGGGCGCTTAAAGTTCCATTATCATTACTTTAAAAACGATTGAAACGCTTTAGTAATAAAATATATGTATGGAAAATTTTGATTACAATTGTGCCTAATTATATAGCTAAAACAAAGTATTATTTATCTAGTTTATAAAATGTATTGTGTTTCGGTAGTTACTATCGTTTCTTTTACTAATTCATTCTGTAGTTTTCTTTCAGAACATAAGTATCCCATTGTAAAAGACACGATAAATCCATTCGTTTCTTCAGATACTATAAGTAGAGTTACCTTCTTATATACTCGTTGATTTTATAACACACAAAGTAGATACGGAGGTTAGTGACTTTTTTCCCCTTCTTTCTCTACACCTGTTACGCTCGATGCACGTCTCTAGAGATTAACTTTTTGCTTTTTTATTTCTCTTTTTTTCAGCATTTAGTTTTATTCTTCTGATATTGTGTTTCTAACACGCATGTATTTCTTGAGATTAAACGTAAATCCTAATTTGTGGATGAAACATGCTTGGCAAAAAATATTTTGCTGAAACAATATGCTTATTTTTACGATAATGGAATTGACCTTTCAAGTTTTTTGTTCATTTTTTTTTAAACAATTTGCTTTTGAAATTCACTTCTTGCCATCTTGGCTACGGTTGACAACACCCTCTATCGGATACTGCCTAACACCCTTTGGCGCCTTGGAATGATTCTCATTGTAAGTATAACAGCCGGTTTGGCATAATTTGTTACACTTGAATGCTGGATTTTATTTTATTTAATAATTAATTTTGATTGAAATTTTGTATGGCAAACGAGAGTAAATCTGTTGCTTTTGAATGTTAAAGATAAGTGTTTATTTCTGTTTTTTTTAAATAATAATAATAACTAGGTAAATATATAGATGAAAACGATGAATTCGAAGATGAAAACGATGTTTATTCAACTCCTTTTTCAGATTTAACTCTCTGTACAACATTTATCTAACGATTTCTGTACGAATTCTAACCTCTTGAGTTTGTATGTATGATACTCTTAAATCGATTTACTGTAGTAATGTCTTTATATTACGGACCATTTCTTGTACAGTTCCATAATCTAGAAGCTTAGATAATTTCCTATGTTTAGTTCGTGTTTTTATCTCCATTATACACCCTTAGCTCATAAGTTGATTTGCTTTGAAAGTTATGGTTTATACGCCGAAATGTCGGCGAACTATTGAAAACCAATAGACCTAAAAATTGTTATAAAAATCAAGTTAATTGCAGGTTTTCTTTTATACATTCTTCTTAATTTCTCCATTGCGGCTAAATATCAAAGATGCATAAAAATAACATTTCAGATTGATCTCTTGTCTCCCATAAGTCGCTGTCAAAGAAACTTTTCGCTCAGTATCAGAACTCATCAGTTGTGTTGGATGATAAGCGATAAAAGAATCTATTAAGCACCATTTATATATGCAGTATAATACTTTAAAAGTTATAGTTTAAATGCCGAAAAGCCGGTATTTTGTCTTTCATCGCCCAGTATAAGTGATGGGGAGTTCTGGTAACGAAAAGCTTGTTGGGCAACGAGTTATGGGAGATAGATCTGAAATGTATTATTTATGTACCTCTGATATTTACCAGCAATGAAGAAATTAAGAAGAATGTGAAAAAGAAAGAAACACCTGTAGTTAACTTAATTTTTATAACAAGTTCATTTTCTCTTACTACAAAATTATAAATATTTTTCTTCGGGTTTACGTCTTTCTTAGTGTGTTTGAAAGTATAAGAACGTGAACTATAAAAATGTTTTAATGGAAGCCAATTACAGTCAAAAAAGGAAGAGCAGATACTTGTTTGGACGAAATTTATATATTTATTAATCCACTAATAGTTTGGAAGAACACGACTCATTAACCAACGTACTGGACTGAAGACTCACACTGTTTTAATGTTACACATATTGCTGGGAATGTTAACATGAGCTGCCCAGTAACCTTTGCTTACCTAATATTTATAACCATGGCTATTAAGTTGTTTTTATAAACTATCATGTGTTAAAACAAATAATAAGACAACATGATTTGTCTTCATTTGTGTAAGTAAAGTTTGATGGTAAAGATAATGGAATATTATATTTATCCTCTACGTTCAAAACACACATGTATTACCGAGGGGTGTAAAAATGATAAACGTCTTCATTTTAGTGTTAAATTTGATGCTAGGGACGTAAGATAGCAATATTGTCATTATTGTATTCTACTAAAATGTGTTGTTAAGACGTCAGTAAAATAACTTTAATAACTTATTCTCTAACTTGCCTTAGTCATACGTGGTAGTTGATTTGTTTCTACAGAGTTCAAACTCACAAAATTATACAGAAATGCTGATACCCAATGATTCATGCAAATATTACAATATACCCTTTAAAATTACAAAGTTAAGCAACTACAATACATATGTTAAGTCCACAGCAGTTTTATGAAACTAACCAGTATCTTATTGTTTGAAATTCAAATCTCGCATACAAAGTGAGACATACAAAAGTCTCTTTGGCGACCTCCTATATAGAGAAGGGGGGATATCAGTGGAAAGAAATACATTTTGATGAGATTAACCTGAAATACTCAGCTACTATGATTCTTTTATTGGAGCGTTTATTAGAGCTACATCTTTGGGAACAAAACAGTAAATTATATAAGAGTAATATTCTAATCAATAAGTTAAATTTATATTCGTTAGTACCGCATGCAAATGTATTGGAAGACAACATTTCTTGCGGTAGAATACACACATATGTTTAAAATGACACCGACTTGATGTTTATTAATACTATGGTTTTGGAATTATGTAATGAATCCATTTATTTTGTTTTACTTTCAGTTCTTAGAAAATACAGGAAATGCATAGACAACTATAAATTTCTTTTGCATCGGATTTCAAATAAAATGACAGAAATATGTACAAATTCGTTAATAAAATGTTCTTTACAGGAAAATAAGTTGGGAGATATTTGCTTTTCCTTACGTTATGTGCCCACAGCTGGAAAACTTACAGTTGTAATTCTCGAGGCTAAAAATCTGAAGAAAATGGACGTTGGTGGCTTGTCAGGTTAGAGCTTATACTTAAAAATGTGAAACTTAACTTCGTTCTTTTAATAATGTTTTGAAGAATACTAAAACACTTGACGTGTATAATTAACCTGCATATATATGGAAATAACGCAGTGCATTATATACAAATTATTGATTGAAAGATAAAAGAAATAAAGTGCAAAATGAAGTAAACGTAAAACCTCTATAATATGTGTATTCTTTCCGAAAGGGGGTCAAAAGCCCCTTGGAGAATTCACCCGTTTTAACCACTCGCACCACTATACAGTAGTATGTTGTCTGTCAGTCAGACAGTAGACACTAAAATGACGTTACATAAGGGACGCTTAACGTTTCAATCTGTACTTTTATGACGTCAGTAAAACGTGCACATACCATGAATCACGAGAAGAATTATGCACTCTGTAGGCTACAACAAAACATGACACATGAACTTTAAAAACAATAAATAAAAATGTTTGTTTCTCTTAATTTTAGTTTTATTTACTCTTGAAAGAGAACACTTTCGGGGACACTGCGGAAGTACATCTACTTATATATGTATTGTCGTAAAAAATACCTATAACGTAGAGGTCGTTTCAAATGTTGCATTGTTGGTTACATGACAGGTTCGACTTATGCTATTATAAAAAAAGAACGGTTATATACGTCCTCCCCGACAATGGCTCGAGCTAAGGAGCCGAAAGATCGTAGTCTTAATCAAGAAAAATAAAGAAAGAATAAATTAAAGAGACTGTATGTGATAATCCGACGATTCATCTTTACTTTAGCTGCTGTATGAGTTTAAAGGAATATTCAATAATAAAGCACAGGGAAATATAAGTATTTAAAACTAGCCAAACAAAAAAGTACCTTTGAGTTACTAAAGGTACTAAATATCTATAAAGACATTTCTAGATGTATATATATTTTAAATATATACATAAACAACTGAATGGATATATGAAAATAAATTTACAGGGCATAGGAAGCAGAACGAAAATTTGTAAATGGGTGAGACTAGAGCCTGTCTGAAGCAAAGACTTTATGGATTTAGAGAGCTGATTGTATATAGAAATTTAACTGAGTATGGAGATCTGAATGTGTTGATAAAACTGAAAGAATGAAAGAACTGACTGATCCTAAACTTCTATACTTTAACTTAACGAACTGTTGAAATGTAAGGAGCTGATAGGATATCTAAAACTGTGTTGAGTTCGAACTATGTGGATATAGAGATCGTGGACAGGTTAGATAACTGACTGAAGAAACAGGAATAATGGATTAATAAAATCCCATGACAGTTGATATGTTAGTGGAACTAACTTGATACATAGAGATCTGAATAATTTTGAAGATTAAGTTCAAGCAACTGAGTGACAATAGAAAAATGACTGATATTATACAATTGGTTGAATGTTAAAAAAGGCTATAATTACAAAGCTTGCCGAATATAAAGATTTAACTAAAGGTAGATAACGTTTTTGATGTGCACAATCGACTGGATAAGGATAATTATTGAATATAAAAATTAGATGCACTTGAAGATGTAAATAACTCATAGAATATACAGAACTTAATCTGAATAGACACTCACTAAGGATAAATATATCTGTTCATGTGAATAGGTGAACTTATAAGGAAATCTGATCAGATAGAGAGAACTCAGTATTTGAAACTTCTTGAAAACACGTGAAAAAATATAGTTTTAAGTTGAAATGGTAAATCAAATATTACACGAGTTATCTTTACAAACTTCGTTCATTTCTTTCTATTTACTTTCAACTTTTCTTTATGGTTAGTATTTTGCTACTTTGGCTGTGGCTAATATCATATCTGCCTGATTTCAGTGTACATATTTACGTTTTCTAACTGACCTCTGCAGATCCGTATGTGAAAATAGCTTTGATGATGAATGGCAAGAGAATCAAGAAGAAGAAGACGAGTATCAAGAAGTGCACACTCAACCCCTATTATAATGAGTCATTTACATTTGAGGTACCATTCGAACAAATTCAGGTATATTCTTTCTCTTTCTTATACTTATCTTTTTCTTTTTTTCTTATTTGTTTTTCTTTGGATCTTTTTATTTACATCTTTCAGCAACTGCTTTTTCTGTACTTAACCACGAAGAAAACACACACACACACACACATCTTTCTATGTATGTATATATGCTTGAGCTGAGCACGGGCTTGTGGTTAGATGGTAAAAACTGTGAATTCGAGGATCCATGGTTCGCGTCCCTTTAGCATAAAATAACATCATAAGATTGACCGTCAAATTCCATTAGAGTAACCTCAAATGCCGGGGAGGAGGGGTGTTGTTGACTGCCTGCTTTTCTTCTAGCCTATCAGCTCAAAATTAGTTACGGCTGATACAGAAACTGTTCTGTAGTTTCGAGTGAATATAACAAGCACACAATTTGTATGCTGTATATTTGTTTATAAATATATAGATTGATATATGTCGGGAACAGATTATACTCGTATCAACAACAGATTTGAATTTGACAGAAATGCCAGCAGCCATGAAAGCATAAAGTTATGTATTGCTGTTAAATATTGACAGAAATATTGAACAAAAATCATTATTTCTAAAGTTATCGATTGGAGAATATTCAATCAATAATTTTGTTCATTTAAAGAAATTTTATAAAAAAAAGTTATCGCTAAAACTGATTAATGAAACATTGAATATACAGAAGTAATTTATTGATCAACAGAAAGTCCAGCTGATGGTGACAGTTGTTGACTACGATCGGATTGGTACATCTGACCCAATAGGTAATGTCCTTCTAGGCTGTAATGCAACTGGAACTGAGCTCCGCCATTGGATGGACATGCTGGCCTCTCCGCGACGTCCAATAGCCCAATGGCATTCTTTAAAAGAGCCAATTGAGGGAGGTGATAATTAAAACCAAATGGTATGCATTTTTATTTTTTAAATATCTGTGATGGAATGATTCCTGCGACGTTTCACAGATGAATTTATTGAAACAGTAAAATCTTCTGAAGTTAAACCATACTTTATATAGCGTATTGAAACTCCCTTTTTCGTTTAATAAATTCAATTATCACATTTTAGTATTAGATGACAGCCAAAACGCAAATATAATGCTAATCAAAGTTGAAATAAAAAATAATAGAATAATAAAAAGGGGCTTATAGATGTAAAAATGTTTGAATAGAGTTAGTATTAAAGTAATGTTAAAACTATAAGGGCCAAATAAAAATATAACAATTAAATAATATTAAAACTTAAATAATATTTAACAGTATCCATTCAAGAAACAAAAACTAGAGTATATCAGCAATGTAAAACTGGTGAGGATATTCCCTTTATTTCGTTGAAAAAGGAGTAACGGTACTTACAAAGATAAAAGTGTCTAAAGAATTGTTAAATGAGAATAAAAAACATAATTTTTTTTTCAAGGTCAAAGATACTTTAAAAGACTCCAAAATTACAATAGCATGTAAGCTTCCCTGCCTAACATGGAATAAAATTTCTAAAGGAATTCAAAATATAAAAGAAATTATATGTTTTTGTCAAGAAGAATAAAGATAATTAAATAATGTCAAATTGAGAATGCTCTTAAACTTTATGGCCCAAAATGGAATAAGGTATCTAAAGATTTTTAGGAGTAGTAACAAAAATTGTTCTTTTCTTGGCCATAAGAAACAAACATGCTTAAACAATGTCAGAGCAATGATGGAAATTAAAATACTTCTCGTATGAAAATAAAATAGCAAAAAAGAATAAAATGTGAATATTTTCAACCGGACTGGATAACAGTTCTTAAAAAAAGCGTTAAGTAGTAATGACGTTTATACTTTCTAAAATACGATATGATTACATATCAACTTAAATACAACAATAGAAACGTAAACTTCCTCGTGTAGGAAGTTTATGGGCGCTTAAATACGTTAAAACACTCACTCTTACTTGTGTTGCTTACTTACATCGGACATCTAATAAAAAATAAACTTAAGCTGTTTGTTCAGTTGGTATGGAGAAAGTTCAGCAGTTAAGATATCTTTAATCGACATTGAAGTTATTCATTATCAAAGAGTTTATAGTAATATTATAATATTTTTATTTCCTTCAGAATCGTAAACAAGCAAGCAACAAGAACTCCCCAGAGAAATGTTTCGAGCGTTTAATGTAATATTAAATATACTGATGATATTTATTATGTGAAGTTGTTTGAACGTTATTTACTTGGCTTTCTATTCAAGCTGTGTATGCTTGTTGAATAACTGAGGTTTGAGGGAAGGTAAATCAATACAATTTTTGTAATTCATACAGAGTTCGTAATTTGCAATGTTTTGTTTAACTTTAATCCCGTACATGCTATATTGTCTGACTGCTTGGCAAATATTTGTATCTCTGTTCTTCAATAAGCTGTCATTTCTTTTCGATAATACTGTTCAGCTTCAATGAAATTTTGTTGTTATATGTAAAATGCTTGAAGAGAATATGTCGATTCTATTCTAAAGTTACCTTCCTGGTGTAGTAGCATAAACTTTCATTTTATAATGGCTCAAAAATGACTAAACGACAAGGAAAAATGGAACTTTACCTTAAATCTTATCTTTTTTAATTAGTGCGAAGTTCCATTAATAGCATATGTTTGCGATATAATTTCAAAGTTACGTTTAAAACTTGCATTTGATTTAGAATATTTTAAATCCAAAGTCAATAATCCATATATAAAAAATCTTATATTTGATAAACAAAGACAACATACTATTGTACAGCCAAGTATCCAGAAATATATATTTTATGTAGTTTAAAATACTGGATTTTTTACAGTGTTATTTAAAAAATATAACTCTTCTACACTTCATTTCCAATCAAGACATTAACGTTGACGGGTTTATTACGCTATTTTGCCAATGTCCAATAGAAAAATATACATTTTTTTTATGAGCAAAACATAGTATGAAATATTCCGTTTTAAATGAATAGTACACTTTTGTTAAACTCCAATGTGTCTATTCCTCTGATTCTTTATAAAGAAGTATTGTTTGAAAAATCTTACAACATCACACTTGCAAGAGGAATGATACTTGAGCCAATATTTCCATGTTCTATGTTATGATAATAGATTGTAATAAAATGTGGTAACAAAATACGTTATAAAAACCAAAGTTATACATTTGGTTCAGAAGAATGAGTAGTTTCTTCAATCGTGCCATCCTGTAAAATAGCCGCATTTCTGTTTTCCTTTGTAGACTAATGTGTAAAGCGTTTACTTATATAACAATTGAAATGTTATTGGATTTATACAGATGCATGCTTGCCGGCTGAGCTTTTATATACAGAGCATCGTGTAATCGCGCAGCAGTCTTTGTTAATTTGTGCAATAACGTAAAAGAAACCAAAGTTACACGCAGAATCTCTATGTAAATGTTTATATATCGGTATTATTATAGATGAGATAAACTGGATAAGAAAGTCTTACTTGTGGCTCTATTAAAAGATACAAGTCTGATTGTTACAGAGAACTAAAATCTTCCCATTACTTCTTAGAAACAACACAGACTATACCAGTAACTCTCGGTGTCAAAGTGTAAGAGGATTTTCACATGTGTTTCTCTTAAAGAGAGAGCATCATTATTATCCGTGGCTGTTCATCAATATAAAAATAACTTACTCGTAATTTTAACAAACATATAGACAGTAGTTTTCAATTATTTATGTTTACCGAAAATGTGATATAATCAAGTGAATTATTTCATAGATTAACACTAATGTTTCAGAGGTACTAAATAAAAATGTACTAAAATAAGTTTATATTATAAATCTTCAAATCGTCGTATTACTGAGAGAAGTTCGAGTACGGACATTTCAACTAATAAAGAATTTAAATAAAAGTAAGCAATTTGAGAATCTTAATTTTCTTTATATGTCATTATAGAACAAGTAATAATTACCCTGAAACTATATGTATATAAAACTAAATATACATTAATTAGAATAAAACATTTAAGGAAACGTAACCAGGCACAAAAAATACATGCAATAATAAAAGATATGAAAGATTACTATCATATGACCATAGTGGGTCTAGTACCTTTATTTCATATGGCCATAGTGGGTATACCATCTTTATTTCATATGACCATAGTTGGTCAAGCACTTTTACTCCATATGACCATAGTGGGTCTACCACCTTTATTTCATATGGCCATAATGGGTATACCACCTTTATTTCATATGGCCATAGTGGATATACCACCTTTATTTCATATGGCCATAGTGGGTATAGTACCTTTATTTCATATGACCATAGCGGGTCTACCACCTTTATTTATTGATTCGTAAGTCATGTAAGAATAATAACTTTTCTGTGATATATTTTGGAATCCTCTGTCCTAAGTCATAAAACACATTGAAGACTTTATTTCACAAAACAATTATCTTATCATTTCTTGACATTCATCATTTTGATGAGATGATCGTTACAACATAATTAGATCATTTGTATACAACTGAATTCATGTTTGTGATACAACCGAATTCATGTTCATGTATAATGCCACCGAGATAAGTATCTCTGTTATAACAAACTTTACCTAGGCTAGTGTCGGTTAGCTTCCGTGTTGGCTAGAGATATACTTACAACATCAATAGATTCCAAACTAAAGTGTAAAAAGAACAAGTTGTTTTTATACCTTATTTAAAAAAAATCAGTTAATTTCTAGTCAGCTTTATTAATGGTTGGTTTTCAACCTTAATTTAGCGATACTAAAACTAAGCTGAGATTGATTCTAAAATATTTTGTTATGACTATGGTGATTGTGCCCATCGTACAATAGTTTCGTAATAAAGTATTTTATTCAAAATGTTACTGATTATTACGTTTGCTATGAAAAAAATAAAGCCAGGAGCTGCTAAATCTTCGTTTCTCTCCTTTCTTTGGGTTGTCTTCTGATGAACTAGGCGATAAAAAAAAAGCCTTACCAAATAGTCGAGAGCCAGCATGACAATGGAAATTTGATGTTCCAACACAATTTTCGTGTATGAATTTGTGAAATTTTAGTAATGTATGCAAAGATGACAATTCAAGAAATATTAACGTCTTTCTGGACAATAAGTAAAGTTTAAGGACAATATTCTACCATATAAAAGTGCGCAAAATATAAGATTTGTTATATAAACTTTCATTTGTGTAGATAGAAGAATTATTATTGAAAGAACAGTTTATTACCATAATGTTTCATACGCACTTTTACTGAATGGAATGTTATGGCTTACGTCATGTGTGTCCTTCCGTACATTTATTAACGTATCTGAAAACACCTTCATATGCTACATAGACTTATTGTGTAGATTTTTATTATTATTGTTATTAAATTACGCAAAGCTTTGTAATTTTATGTTTATTAAATCCAAAAAAACAATGCTAATTATATGAAATTGAATAAATTTCAAAGACATACAAAAGCCTCATGTGGTTGATAGTGTGTTCAATTACGTTATTACAAACAAAAAAATACGTAATATCTATCAACCCGTAGAATAGTAAATATATATCGTTCGTGTTTTTGTTCCTTAGATTTCTATGTATGTATAGATATAGCCCACCTCCATAGAGCGTAAACACGTAATACATGCTGTCATTTTCCACGTTCGTTACCCGGGTTTGATTTGGACATTAATATTAATGTCGATCTTAGTTACAAAGCATCTGTCCGACTTTAGAAGTTAAATGTCTACCTCCAACCATTTTTTACTGCTTTAAATTTAAACAAAAGCAGTCTTTTTAATGTAATTCATCTAAATCATTTAAGTCTGTTAGAAACTTCTGAACTGATATTTTATTATTATAAACTGTAGTTATTGCTAAAAACATTAATGTTTTTCATCGATTTTTAACATTGTAGAAATCTTCTTACATGATTATGGTTACATTTACTTATCCAGTAAACCTTTTAAACATGATTTTTCGTTAAATCTAAATGAGTTTTACAATACTTTGTTTTGTTTTACTTTGAGATGTTTTTAAACTGAAAGTTATATACCAAATACGTTCATAGTATTTGAGAACGTTATATATATGTAAGTTAAGTGGATGAAATAAGCTGTGAAATAGTTTTCATCAAATGTTATTACGTAAGTTTCTCGTATGTACCACGATGTGTAAGTCGGGTTGATTAAGTATGGGCGTAACGATGTAATGTGTGTTATTAGTCAATTTACATGTGTGATTTCATCTAGTTATATTTTGTAAAAACTGTTTGAGTGCTTTAACAGAATCCCGACTTTTTTAATTGTATCTAACAGAAGCGAAGATCTTTGATAACTAAATTGAAGTGTCTTGATGAACTTGTGGTACAGAAACAATAAATTGATACAGAAAATATATGTTCCAGGTTTTATATGTACAACAAACGCAAGCATACAAAAATGACTTATAGAACGTAAGATAATGACTTCATGGTCTTAGGTCTTTTGTGTTTATACTAACTGGTTATTCAACTCATATTTTCGAAAAGCGTATTCTCCATTTTTTACTATATGGTTAAAGTGACTTCCGTTTCAGCATGTGCTATTACTTTACACAAAGCATTATCGTTGAATGTTCTACTTTAACCAGAATATATATATATGTTGCATAAATATTGAAATATATTTAAATATATAAACGGTGTAGTGAATGTTGTAACTAGTGGTATTATCTGTATTGTGTACAGAGTATTTTTAGGGCGGAAACTATATATACATACATATATTATAGAATTGTATTTTTGTGGGTATGTATATGGTTTTGAAACTTGATTATATGTAACATCTTCCCATCACTTAGTCCTCAGCTGACAAGAGCCTTAAAGTCACTTAAACAAAAATATAGACACTGCGTTTAGTTTCAGATGAAATTAAAGATGTTTATTCAGTGTATTGTTTGTATACATATATATATATATATATACATATAAGGTTAATGGTCTAACCTTTGTCTGTAGCCCTAAAATACATATGAAAGTGCATAATTACAAATGTGTATAGTGGCTTCTGTCATACAAGTTACCTAGAAATTTCAAATATGTAAATAGTTGCCTTGCTGTGTGAACAGTAATGATGTTATTGTACATGTGTACGTGTTATATAGAATATAATAAAATTTACTACTAGTAAATTGCATTTATGAATTTTGTTTTAATAATGACAAGATTCTGTACCTTCACTTGATCTGTAAAATGTGTTGTTATTTCTCGCCTGAGTTTAGTATTAAATAACTCAAGTAAGAAAATCAAAAGGTGAATTTTAAGCGTTTATCATTTATCATACACAAATATGTGAATAGTACAACAATCTCTTAAAATAATCTAAACAGTAACTCGTGTTTCCATATATTTAAATCTAATCAAAAACACCTTAGTTGTGAAAAAAAAGGATTCAACGAGTGACTTAAAGGAATGAAATCAAAATTTGTGGCCAAACTTGTAGCTACACTTATAGAATTGATAAGAATTTTACAGCAAATATTCATTCATTAGTTAGCTAGGCCGCCTTTTTTGTTCAAGTTGGGGCTATGATGGTGGGTAAAATAACATACGCAGTCTGGCTAGTGAATGAATATTTGCTATATATGTAGCTACCAGTTTGGCCACCTTTGCTTTACACCTAAGGTTTTTTATTAGATATCATGATTTTTTGTCAATACACACCAAACGAGAAAGTAACATTCGAGAGCCTTGGGATCGCAACCTTATTATTCGGAACAGATCTTTACTTTACAGAACCAACCAGATTCTGTAAAATATATGATGATAATTTTCCTCTCTAAAACAATGTTAATAACTTAATTTATAGTAACGCCATGGAATCTAGATTAACAGTTTCTTGTCACCACCCGCAAGAACTCGGTACAACCGTATCAAGCATCATTATTTACGTTAATTGCTTAAGCCTATTATTACGTGACACTAAACGCTCTTTAGTTAGGATAATTTAATAAAATTTAGTAAATATCTGCTGAAAGGTTGGTAATGAATAATCAATAATAACTGTCCACCGTATGATTATTTTGAAAACTTGAGCTAGAAACTGCTAATCTATTTTGCTTGGCCAAACCAATACTTGTGTATCTACACGTTCTTTCACCTTATAGTTTTGCTGCTCTAAGTCAGCCATCTTTAATCCGAATGACAAAAAACTAAAAAAGATCCACTTTTACTTTTAGATGAAGCTGTAGTAAAAATTTTAGTCTGGTGGCTCAGTTTCGTTCAGTTATAGAAAGTTCAAATTTTCTATTAATCTTTAGCTAGTTTCTATTAACATGACAAGTATTCAGTTTCAGTTTCCATCGACAGAGACAACTCTAACTCTCGTGTTTCAAAAAAATAAAGTATTTCTCATCTTTTCAAATTATATATATTTATTGTTTCGTTTTTTAGAGTCGTCTGTCCAACGTTTAATTTTGCAATGATATAGTATATTATATCATTGACTATTTCTATAATAGAAATGTAGAGGCGCATGTTGGCCCTATGGTTGAACTCTGGATTTCGCAGCTGGCTAGTCGGGTTCAAAGTCATTATAATACCCCAAAATATTCCCATCCAATTAAGCTGTGGGTGCTTCATAAAAGTAACAGAAAATACCTTATTGTAGATTATGGGTGGTATGGTGCTGTCGATTAGCTACTTTTCTCTGGTCAACGGTTCGAAATTATGTACTGCGTCAGATGTGTTTGATACCAAATTTAGTCCTAGTATTTGAAAAGTCCTAGATATTCCAAGAACAGTACCCTCATCATGTTGAGCTTCATGTTGCCTTTTACTTCCATTGAGAGTAAGAGCAAATGTTATTTGCTAATCAATTCGTTGTAGCATTTTCTCTTAATTGAATATATTATAAATTCATAAAATGTTTCACTTCGATATATCCTAAGCTAATAGATATGTCTGGATAAAATATAAGGTATATTATAACTTTTAGTGTTGTAAGAGTAAATGATATATATATATATAAATTTAAAAATTTTATTATTTTGCTACTGAAGTTTAAAATGAATTTTCTTAGTGCTAAATGCTAAATTTTTTAATCAATACCAACAGTTCTACTTAAACGCCGCATGATTCATATTGTATTTAAATTATGTTTCAACTACTATTTGTAATTTTTTTTCGCTATTGGAAGTCTGGATAACAAAACTGTTCTTTTTTAGAATAAACTGAACAAGAACTATCTGTGCATAACTGTCCCCAATTTTGAACTAACACACTATTGGAAAGGCAGCGAGTGAACAGTACCTGTACCCTATTCTTGGGCAATTTTTGTCTGATCGAATAATGCGGTTTGATCGTCACTTTTATAGATAACATATATCCACAAAATGCAGATTTAATTTTTTGGGCGGTAACGGGATGCGAACCACGAATCATTGACTTTACAAAATGGGCCCGCTAACCACTAAGAAACATCAAGCTCTTCAAATTTGCTTCGGATGAAGTTGAATAAATATTAACTTTACCAGATTTTTCCCTATAAATGAGCCTCCCCCCCAGTGGCACAGCGGTACGTCTGCAGACTTACAACGCTGAGAATCCGGGTTTCGATACCTGTGGTGGGCAGAGCACAGTTAGCCCATTATGTGGCTTTGTGCTTAATTACAAACAAACCTATAAATGATTTTTCTCAACTTCTGTGAAATGTTTTCCTCGTTATTGGTTATATAATCAGTTTATAACTAAGGTCTCAAGAAAATAAAAACATACAGAAACTAAAATATGAATATGGAAACTATCTCGTGAGTTAAATATTATAATATATGAAATCATGCTATTTCCACAAAGTCTAGTTAAATAAATTACGAATGCAATTTATTATTCTAAAAACAAACATTTACATTTATTCTATAATAGTAAATAATACAGAACGTAACTTGTTTGTTGAAAAACTATAACAGTTAAATAATACTGTTTCCACTCGTACTGAACAATACATTGCAAAGCATAACCTGAGCTTGATCACGAATGAAATACTAACATCTTTCTGCTCATCATGCTTTAGGAGCAATAACTTCCGACAAAATTGAGTAGTAACTTCAAAACAGAACTGTGTCCATGTTAAAATAACTCAAAATTCTTGATTGTAGTAATCTGAGGTAACAATTTTCATTGCTAGTAAGAAACAATATGTATTTTTTCATATTTTAACATTACTGGTAATTGAAATTTGATCAAAACGTTTTACAAGTACAAAACAGCTAACTTAGAATGAACAGGTTAGTTCATACAAAGGTATTATATCAAAAAAGAGCCAAGTTATATAGAACGACGAACCCTGTAAAATTGGATAAGTTCAACAAGTTGAAGATCATGACCCTTTTTTTATTACAATGAAAAAAGCAGTAACATTACATCATTATCCATTTATATGACTTAACTCTTTTTTATATCTCATCATTGTATGTCTTACCTCTTTACTCTAACTTGGCTTCTTTTGTAAATGTAAAATGTATTAAAAAGATTAAAATCAGATTCTATCCGAAATGTGATTTGAACCATACATACCAATGGAAGTTATCAACACAAATACAGAGCCTTGGATTACTACATCATCTACTCAGTTCACATTTTCTTTATTCGTCTTGGCCAATCAGCTTTAATCTTAAAATCTAAGGCTTAGATCATTACGTAATCTCCTCATTTCAGATTTATCATAAGCCCCTAGGCTCTTAAGTAATCAGATTTAACCTAATGGCTGTGAAGCGCAATCCACAATTAAAATTATTAATAAAACATACACAAAAGAAATTAATATATGTGTGGTAAAGTCGTCAAACAAGAAGCATTCTCTAGTTCAGATTAATATATACTAGTTCAATTTTGTTTCGTGCCGGTCCTCTTTTGTTTATTATACGTCTTGTTTCTTCAATAAGGAGAAGAAAACAACAACAACAACAACAACAATGTTACCAATTTTGGCTATTTATTTCTATTACTCTAACACAAATATTAAGGTGTTGGCGTAAGGACTGTTTAGATCTTTTTATAAACATACACATAGTGGTATTTCAATATTTGTAACAGCTATGGCAATATTTGGCCAAAGGTTCTGTCCTGTATATAAAGAAATAGTAGTGTTACTTCATTATTTTAACTTTACTGGAGTCACTACCGCGCTAATTCATATGTGTTTCTTTTGAAAACCGAACAAACGTTAACTAACTCAAAAGTAACTCAAGTTATACTGTAAAAAAAAAACAAATAAGTATGCAATAGATAAAATACAATCTAAGCGATAAAAAAAGAAGAAACAAATAGTAAATAAATTACTCTCAACATAAGAATTAATTACTTTTAATTGGAGTTTTATTACAGTTTCAATATCTTGTTTTTCACAGCAAGTTTAACGGAAATCTCTATTACACTGAGAATAAAGAAAGACAAAGTCAGTGTTAGAATTTTTGCCTTTTTTAATGCAACATTTCGTATAAAATGGATATACATTTATATACACATATATTTTTTATTCACTAAGAAAATTTATTTTTATTCAAATTTTATTTAGTAGCATGTCAATTAGGCATTATTTGAACAACAGTTTAAATATTACAGAAACAGCATATCTTTTCAAAAGTGTTTAAATGTTTCATAAGCAGACATTCCTTTAAAATATTTCACAAACAAGTGTACCTTTTAAATATCTCTATTTAGTTATTCATAATTATATTAAATTTGATATTATAATAGCTTTCAAAAGTTAATTACATTTGTTAAACGAGTTTGTAAAGTTTCACACCGTTCTCCTCACTTTTCTTATAAGGTCAAAATATGAAACGAGACTGAGATATCATTTTGAATTGATGATGTGCATTATGGAGGTGCGTAAAATGCAAGAAAAAGTCGTTTTTTTCAACTATAACTAAATAAATACATATATATGTATGTGCATGTGGTCCTAATCTGTATTCACTCTAGAAAAAAATATTTTTACAATTTCTCTTAACATTACACTTGATAATAACCAGTAGTCTATAACAAATGGATTTCTCAGCTCAAACAGGGAAACAGTGTTTTCAAAATCATATTCAGTTCACTCTTTTTAAAGAAATGTTACATATGGCAAGTTAAACGTACTTCTTCGAAGACATGAGCTAAATGTTTCAGAAGCATTACAGTTTAAAATCGTAC